CCCAGAGCTGCTATCATTTGTGCTAAGCAGATCGCTTCTGAACAAAGAGAGCTACGCAGCTGCTCATTGGAACCTTACCCGGTGAAATAAAATAAAAATTGTTTATAGCTTCACTAGTCCCAAGACCATCTAGACTAGGCCACGGCTTATCCAGAGTGGTGGAGAAGCCTCTGCCACTCTGTGATGATGATGATGATAATCCACTTATTGAGATATAAATTTCCACGTGATGATGATAATCCACTTATTCAGATATAAATTGCCACGTGATGATGATAATCCACTTATTGAGATATAAATTTCCACGTGATGATGATAATCCACTTATTCAGATATAAATTGCCACGTGATGATGATAATCCACTTATTGAGATATAAATTGCCACGTGATGATGATGATAATCCACTCATTGATATTTCAATTTCCACGTGATGATGATGATAATCCACTTATTGAGATATAAATTGCCACGTGATGATGATGATGATAATCCACTCATTGATATATCAATTTCCACGTGATGATGATAATCCACTTATTGAGATATAAATTGCCACGTGATGATGATGATAATCCACTCATTGATATATCAATTTCCACGTGATGATGATAATCCACTTATTGAGATATAAATTGCCACGTGATGATGATAATCCACTTATTGAGATATAAATTGCCACGTGATGATGATGATAATCCACTCATTGATATTTCAATTTCCACGTGATGATGATGATAATCCACTTATTGAGATATAAATTGCCACGTGATGATGATGATGATAATCCACTCATTGATATATCAATTTCCACGTGATGATGATGATAATCCACTTATTGAGATATAAATTGCCACGTGATGATGATGATAATCCACTCATTGATATATCAATTTCCACGTGATGATGATAATCTACTTCTTCTTTGGTTCTTTCGGTAAAGTCACGTAGAATGAGAATAAAATAATAAATTGATAAAATAAAATAACACAATAATATTCTCACGACGTTTCGGCCACAACACAAGCGGCCTTCATCAGGTGAAGGGAGCGAGACTGTCTGGTAGGACAGCGCTGGAGTGAGAGAGCCACGTTCAGATCACGGCTTTTAAGCCTCAAATTTCCGTACCACGGATAGCTACGGGCCCCGTTCAGACGGACGAGTTCGTCCATGGTCAGAACAGAGGAGGGGGAGAGAGACAGCTGCGAAGCCCTAGTATACTCCATGTTGTAAACCATACCATTAACCGTGGTGTGAGAGGTATTAAGAGGCAATGCTGGCGAAAGAGCTGCGGTCTGAAGGTCATCGTAAAATTACAATTAATTAAGAACAGAAATGATGTAACACATCTTTCCAGTGGTTACTAAGCCTGAATCCATCTTCTCGGTTGAAATTGTCTTTGTGCTTGTATATGTGAATGGCCTCATGAACGAATCTCTCATGGTAGCCAGTTGGTTTGCAAAGAACCTCCGTCTTGGAGAAGTCAATGTCATGTGAGCCCACTGAATTGTAACAGTGATCTGCCACGGCAGAGGAGTTCGTCTTACCGTGTTTCAAGTCTGCTTTATGTTCGCGGATGCGGTCCGAGATATGTCTTTTGGTTTCTCCAATGTAGCTACTACCACAGAGGCACTTTAGTTTGTAAACGCCCGGGTACTGTATGTCTGGAAGAGCATCTTTTACAGATGGAACTAAATCACGGATTTTGTGTACTGTGTTGAATCGGACCTGGATCTTGTGTTTATTCAGGATTTTGGAGATCTTTTTAGTGACCCCTGCAATGTAGGGTAAGGTGATGGTTTTGAGTGGCTCCACAAGAGGATCCTTCTTCATGACTGGAGTGATGGCTTTGCGGATTGTGTAGTCGGAGTAGCCATTAGCCCTGAGAGCCTGGTGTACGTGCTTGAGTTCACTGGTAATGTGTTCCTGGTCGGAAATGCATTGGGCTCTATGGTATAGAGTCTTGATGAGGCAGTTCTTCTGGGATGGATGGTGGTGGGAATCCGGTTTCAAGTAAGCATCTGTATGGGTAGCTTTCCTGTAGACAGAGTGGCTCATTGAACCATCATGTCTCCTTTTAATTAAGACATCCAGAAAGGGTAGTTTGCCATCTTTTTCAACCTCCATGGTAAATCTGATGGCTGGGTGTATTGAATTGATGTGGTCGCGGAATTGGTCTAGAGCAGGCTGGCCATGTGGCCAGATGACAAAGGTGTCATCAACGTACCTCTTCCATAAGGTCGGGCGTAGAGTGGCAGTCTGGATGGCGTCAGTTTCAAATTTTTCCATGAATACGTTGGCTACAACCGGAGATAGGGGGGGGCCCATTGGGGTGCCCTCAGTTTGTTTGTAGAAAGTTCCATTCCAAACAAACTGAGGGCACCCCAATGGGCTCCCCCCTATCTCCGGTTGTAGCCAACGTATTCATGGAAAAATTTGAAACTGACGCCATCCAGACTGCCACTCTACGCCCGACCTTATGGAAGAGGTACGTTGATGACACCTTTGTCATCTGGCCACATGGCCAGCCTGCTCTAGACCAATTCCGCGACCACATCAATTCAATACACCCAGCCATCAGATTTACCATGGAGGTTGAAAAAGATGGCAAACTACCCTTTCTGGATGTCTTAATTAAAAGGAGACATGATGGTTCAATGAGCCACTCTGTCTACAGGAAAGCTACCCATACAGATGCTTACTTGAAACCGGATTCCCACCACCATCCATCCCAGAAGAACTGCCTCATCAAGACTCTATACCATAGAGCCCAATGCATTTCCGACCAGGAACACATTACCAGTGAACTCAAGCACGTACACCAGGCTCTCAGGGCTAATGGCTACTCCGACTACACAATCCGCAAAGCCATCACTCCAGTCATGAAGAAGGATCCTCTTGTGGAGCCACTCAAAACCATCACCTTACCCTACATTGCAGGGGTCACTAAAAAGATCTCCAAAATCCTGAATAAACACAAGATCCAGGTCCGATTCAACACAGTACACAAAATCCGTGATTTAGTTCCATCTGTAAAAGATGCTCTTCCAGACATACAGTACCCGGGCGTTTACAAACTAAAGTGCCTCTGTGGTAGTAGCTACATTGGAGAAACCAAAAGACATATCTCGGACCGCATCCGCGAACATAAAGCAGACTTGAAACACGGTAAGACGAACTCCTCTGCCGTGGCAGATCACTGTTACAATTCAGTGGGCTCACATGACATTGACTTCTCCAAGACGGAGGTTCTTTGCAAACCAACTGGCTACCATGAGAGATTCGTTCATGAGGCCATTCACATATACAAGCACAAAGACAATTTCAACCGAGAAGATGGATTCAGGCTTAGTAACCACTGGAAAGATGTGTTAAATCATTTCTGTTCTTAATTAATTGTAATTTTACGATGACCTTCAGACCGCAGCTCTTTCGCCAGCATTGCCTCTTAATACCTCTCACACCACGGTTAATGGTATGGTTTACAACATGGAGTATACTAGGGCTTCGCAGCTGTCTCTCTCCCCCTCCTCTGTTCTGACCATGGACGAACTCGTCCGTCTGAACGGGGCCCGTAGCTATCCGTGGTACGGAAATTTGAGGCTTAAAAGCCGTGATCTGAACGTGGCTCTCTCACTCCAGCGCTGTCCTACCAGACAGTCTCGCTCCCTTCACCTGATGAAGGCCGCTTGTGTTGTGGCCGAAACGTCGTGAGAATATTATTGTGTTATTTTATTTTATCAATTTATTATTTTATTCTCATTCTACGTGACTTTACCGAAAGAACCAAAGAAGATGAATCATTGCAGTCACGAAAGCTTTAAATCGATAATCTACTTATTGAGATATAAATTGCCACGTGATGATGATAATCCACTTATTGAGATATAAATTGCCACGTGATGATGATGATGATAATCCACTCATTGATATATCAATTTCCACGTGATGATGATGATGATGATGATAATCCACTTATTGAGATATAAATTGCCACGTGATGATGATGATAATCCACTCATTGATATATCAATTTCCACGTGATGATGATAATCCACTTATTGAGATATAAATTGCCACGTGATGATGATAATCCACTTATTGAGATATAAATTGCCACGTGATGATGATGATGATGATAATCCACTCATTGATATATCAATTTCCACGTGATGATGATAATCCACTTATTGAGATATAAATTGCCACGTGATGATGATAATCCACTTATTGAGATATAAATTGCCACGTGATGATGATGATGATAATCCACTCATTGATATATCAATTTCCACGTGATGATGATGATGATGATAATCCACTTATTGAGATATAAATTGCCACGTGATGATGATGATAATCCACTCATTGATATATCAATTTCCACGTGATGATGATAATCCACTTATTGAGATATAAATTGCCACGTGATGATGATAATCCACTTATTGAGATATAAATTGCCACGTGATGATGATGATAATCCACTCATTGATATATCAATTTCCACGTGATGATGATAATCCACTTATTGAGATATAAATTGCCACGTGATGATGATAATCCACTTATTGAGATATAAATTGCCACGTGATGATGATGATAATCCACTTATTGAGATATCAATTGCCACGTGATGATGATAATCCATCATTAGACCTCCTTTGCCAGTACCAAAATGTAATAATAGGGTTTTCCCCTTTTTTTTTCTGGCAACAAAACTGAAACCTTTTAACAAGGATTCATGTCTGCATTAACCACAACACCTGCAGTCAAAATGCAAACAAAAAACATAATACGATAATATATGCATAGTATGATTATATATGTACAATATATGCATAATATATGATAGTCCACTGATTGAGATATAAATTCCGACGTGATGATGATTATAAGCCACTTATTGAGATATACATTTCCACGTGGTGGCGATGATGATGGTGGTAAGCCACCCGGTCTCTAGTGCCCTTCCTCACTGGCCGTGTGTGCCCGTGCCAGGCTGCGTGCAGGTGCAGCGGCCCCCGTCGCGATACGAGCTCTGCTCGGTGTGCAACCTGCAGCTGGGCTCCGCGCAGCAGGCCCAGGTGCACTACACCAGCCGCTACCACCAGCGCCGGCTCAAGCAGACAGGTGAGGCGGACACACCTGCGTGTGAGGCGCGCGTGGGTGTGGTACAGGTGTGTGACAGGTGGGGCGGACACACCTGGGTGAGGGCGTGCCTGTGTGTGTGACAGGTGAGGTGGACACACCTGCGTGTGAGGCGCGCGTGGGTGTGGTACAGGTGGGTGTGTGACAGGCGAGGCAGACACCCCTGGGTGAGGGCGTGCCTGTGTGTGGTACAGGTGGGTGTGTGACAGGCGAGGCAGACACCCCTGGGTGAGGGCGTGCCTGTGTGTGTGACAGGTGAGGTGGACACACCTGCGTGTGGGACGTGCGTGGGTATGGTACAGGTGGGTGTGTGACAGGTGTGGTGGACACACCTGGGTGTGGGATACACCTGGCTGGGACACGCCTGGGTATGGTACAGGTGGGGCGGACGCACCTGGGTGTGAGGCACGCGTGGGTGTGGGACGCGCCTGGGTGTGGGACATACCTGGGTGTGGTACAGGTGGGTGTGGTACAGGTTGGTGTGCGACAGGTGTGGTGGACACACCTGGGTGTGGTACAGGTGGGTGTGGTACAGGTGGGAGTGGTACAGGTGAGTGTGGTACAGGTGGGTGTGGTACAAGTGGGTGTGCGACAGGTGTGGTGGACATACCTGGGTGTGAGGCACGCCTTGGTGTGGTACAGGTGGGGTCGACTCACCTGGGTGTGGGGCACACTTGGGTGTGGTACAGGTGGGGGTGAACACACCTGGGCGTTTGACAGGTGAGGATGACACGCCTGGGGATGGGGCATACCTGGGTGCGGGGCAGGTTGGGTGGACACACACCTGGGTGGACACACACCTGGGTGGACTCACACCTGGGTGGACACACACCTGGGTGGACACACACCTGGGTGGACACACACCTGGGTGGACACACCTGCGGGCGGGATAGGTGAGCCCAGGCGTGGGTTACCCCGTCCCCCTCTCCCCGCTATCTCTTGGGTCCTCTCCGGGGTTGAAGAAACTCCTCTGGACCGGTGGGAGAGAGGCCCGAAGAGGTGGACTCGCCCGAAGAGGTGGACTCGCCCGAAGAGGTGGACTCGCCCGAAGAGGAGGGGTCACGTGTGAGCCATGGGCTCGCGTGGCTCTGCGCGGTATTACTTGCGCGAGGCGTTAATGAGAGGGACAATTATAGAGCACGTGTTGATCACGTGTTGATCACGTGTTCATCACAGGGGACGAGGGGAGGAGGGGGGGGGGAGACAGGTGCGGGGGGGGGGGGGGGCTGCGTGGGGGCGGTGGGGGGAGGGATTGGGGGAGATGGAGGGGGTGGAGAGAGATGGAGGGAGATGGGGGGGGGAAAGAGGGAGATGGGGAGAGATGGGGAGGGAGATGGGTAGGGAGATGGGGAGAGATGGGGAGGGAGAGAGGAAGATGGAGGGGGTGGAGAGGGAGATGGGGAGGGATGGGGAGGGAGATGGAGGGGGTGGGGAGGGAGATGGGGAGAGATGGAGGGAGAAATGGGAAGGGATGAAGTGAGAGATGGGGGGGGTGATGGTGATGATGATGGCAATGATGATGGTAATGATGATGGTAATGATGATGGTAATGGTGATGGTAATGATGATGGTAATGATGATGGTGATGATGATGGTAATGATGATGGTAATGGTGATGGTAATGATGATGGTGATGATGATGGTGATGATGATGGTAATGATGATGGTAATGATGATGGTAATGATGATGGTAATGGTGATGGTAATGATGATGGTGATGATGATGGTAATGATGATGGTAATGATGATGGTAATGATGATGGTAATGGTGATGGTAATGATGATGGTAATGATGATGGTAATGATGATGGTAATGGTGATGGTGATGATGATGGTAATGATGATGGTCAGGGCGACGACACCGATCGTGATGATGTCGGTGATGTTCTTGGCGAGGGTGGTGGCGGTCGTGACGACGATGAGGGTCGATATTCGTCATCGTGAAGCGCGTGGGGACGAGAGGGGGGGGGCGGGGAGTGGGGGGCGGGGAGTGGGGGGGGGCGGGGAGTGGGGGGACCAGGGGGGTGGGGGAGTGGGGGGCGGGGAGTGGGGGGACCAGGGGGGTGGGGGAGTGGGGGGGGAGGAGGGGGGAGGGGAGTGGGGGGCGGGGAGTGGGGGGACCAGAGGGGTGGAGGAGTGGGGGGGGAGTGGGGGGCGGGGAGTGGGGGGGCGGGGGTGGGGGAGTGGGGGGGGAAGACGGCCACCAGGGGGCGGACTTCCACCACGAGTCCGGGAGTCGCGCGGCACGGCACGGACGATTCTCACGATCGACGTCGCGATTCTTCGCATCGATTGTAACGCAAAGAATTTAATAACGGGCGGAGGGATGGGATGGGATGGGGAAGAAATGAGAGGGAGATTGGGGGGAGACGGGTGGAGAGAGAGGTGGGATGAGCTAAGAGGGAGATGGATGGAGATGGTTGGAGCGATAAAAGGGAGATTGGGGGGAGAGATAAAGGGAGAGATGGAGGGAGACGAGAGGGAGATAGTTGGGGAGAGATGGAGGGAGAGATGGAGGGAGATTGGGGGAGATTGTTGGGGAGAGATGGAGGGAGAGATGGAGGGAGACGAGAGGGAGATAGTTGGGGAGAGATGGAGGGAGAGATGGAGGGAGATTGGGGGAGATTGTTGGGGAGAGATGGAGGGAGAGATGGAGGGAGACGAGGGAGATAGTTGGGGAGAGATGGAGGGAGAGATGGAGGGAGATTGGGGGAGATTGTTGGGGAGAGATGGAGGGAGAGATGGAGGGAGAGATGGAGGGAGATTGGGGGAGATAGTTGGGGAGAGATGGAGGGAGAGATGGAGGGAGACGAGAGGGAGATAGTTGGGGAGAGATGGAGGGAGAGATGGAGGGAGAGATGGAGGGAGATTGGGGGAGATAGTTGGGGAGAGATGGAGGGAGAGATGGAGGGAGACGAGAGGGAGATAGTTAGGGAGAGATGGAGGGAGAGATGGAGGGAGAGATGGAGGGAGATTGGGGGAGATAGTTGGGGAGAGATGGAGGGAGAGATGGAGGGAGACGAGAGGGAGATAGTTGGGGATAGATGGAGGGAGAGATGGAGGGAGAGATGGAGGGAGATTGGGGGAGATAGTTGGGGAGAGATGGAGGGAGAGATGGAGGGAGACGAGAGGGAGATAGTTGGGGAGAGATGGAGGGAGAGATGGAGGGAGAGATGGAGGGAGATTGGGGGAGATAGTTGGGGAGAGATGGAGGGAGAGATGGAGGGAGACGAGAGGGAGATAGTTAGGGAGAGATGGAGGGAGAGATGGAGGGAGAGATGGAGGGAGATTGGGGGAGATAGTTGGGGAGAGATGGAGGGAGAGATGGAGGGAGACGAGAGGGAGATAGTTGGGGATAGATGGAGGGAGAGCTGGAGGGAGAGATGGAGGGAGATTGGGGGAGATAGTTGGGGAGAGATGGAGGGAGAGATGGAGGGAGACGAGGGAGATAGTTGGGGGTGCCGGTGCGACTGTCCAAATTTGCTTCAACCTCAATGCAGCAGCAGCAGCATGCAGGCTGCCGTGAAACCACTGCAGATATTTCTCCTTCGCGATGACAGCTTTGTGCCACATAGGGACAGCTGCCACTGGGGGGGTGCCCCCCCCCGCCCCCCCGGGTGCCCCGAGGGCTATAACCACACAGCGCTGTTGTTAGAGCTACCGCAGACTGCGCGTGGCAGAGCCACGCCTTCACCGGGGGTCGGTCATATGTAGTAGCTACGTCTACATATGTAGTAGTAGTAGCTACTACTACATGTATGTAGACGTATAGTATATGTAGTAGTAGCTACTACTATACATGTAGTAGTAGCTACTACTATACATGTAGTAGTAGCTACTACTATACATGTAGTAGTAGCTACTACTATACATGTAGTAGTAGCTACTACTATATATGTAGCTACGTCTACATGTATAGTAGTAGCTACTACTACATGTAGACGTAGCTACATATGTAGCTACTACTACTTATGTACTACATACTACCTACATATGTAGTAGTAGATATGGGCCCCGCACTTTAAAGGGCCCCGCGCTGAATGCTTTGAAGCTATCAATTCCGGTTTAGTGATTCTGCACTTAGCTCTATTACTATAGTACTATACCGCCTTCAACGTTTATGAACGTCTGGGTGTTTAAGGCTAGCGATGTTTCATATTATCTGGCTGTATAGCAAATGAAAAAATACAATTACTTTACTATGCAAGTTAAACATACGTGTTTTAATATTTGCGGGTTTTTTATATAATGTAGGGCCCCTTCATAACAACTTATGCTGCAGGCCCCGCACCTCGCTTGATCCGGCACTGCTGTTAGCAAGCACCTATTAAGGGCGTCACGGCACACGTGTGGTGTGTGTGCCAGGTAGAACTCTGAGAACCAGGAGCGTGCCCTAGTTTGGCTGACAGTCCAGTGGCACTGAATCCCAGGGGGGATCAGACGCACATAGACAAAGATTCCCCGTGTAGCCTTAGCAGACTGCCGGGGCAAGTGCTGTTAGCGAGCAGCACCTACAAAGACAAAGATTCCCCGTGTAGCCTTAACAGACTGTTGAGGCAAGTGGTGTTAGCGAGCAGCACCTACAAAGACAAAGATTCCCCGTGTAGCCTTAACAGACTGTTGAGGCAAGTGCTGTTAGCGAGCAGCACCTACAAAGATTCCCCGTGCAGCCTTAGCAGACTGCCGGGGCAAGTGCTGTTAGCGAGCAGCACCTACAAAGACAAAGATTCCCCGCGTAGCCTTAGCAGACTGCCGGGGCAAGTGCTGTTAGCGAGCAGCACCTACAAAGACAAAGATCCCCCGTGTAGCCTTAACAGACTGCCGGGGCAAGTGCTGTTAGCGAGCAGCACCTACAAAGACAAAGATTCCCCGTGTAGCCTTAACAGACTGCCGGGGCAAGTGCTGTTAGCGAGCAGCACCTGTGAAGGCCGTCACGGCACACGAGGGGGGTGGGTGGCCAGCAACCACGCCCGGCCGCCTTT